GGTTCTCTCTATTTATACTCTTTAGTATGACGGGCTTGACAAATATGGCCCACGCAGCGACTCACGAAGAGCTACTGATTTCGATCAATAGCACTGCGGCTTCTTCCTCCTTCTATAGATGGTCATGTGGACTGCAGCCAGCTGCTTGCAGGCAGCTTTCGTTGTGTACTGGAGAAAACCATCACTCACCACGTGATGATTGAATAAACACCGTTTAGTGAGACCGGATGGAATTCAACTTTTAAATCTGTGTTAGGGAAATCGCTTTTCGCAAGCAATTGGTGATCATTTTAATTTTCATAGAAACAGTTGCACATTCGTGCAATTTTCAATAGTGACATTTTGAAAAATGATAAAGTCTTAAATTTAACAGATTCGTAGACATATTTTTGATCGATTGGTGATGAAATTACTGGAATTAGTCCAGGGACAGCTGAGTTATTAACGTTCAAAATCTTTCATAATTTTGTTACATGTTTCAATTACGGTTTTCACAAAGTGTACCCCCATATAGAAATCACAGACGTAGTCCTACGTCAAAAAAGTATTGACGATTGTCTACGCACGAGCGGGAGGGGGTCTACATCATCTCAAAAATGGTCTACTTCAAGGGGTCAGTCACTCAGCACAGCTGCTTTTGTATTAACGCTGTTTACAGTGTGCCGTATTGTGCCGGTACTGTGCCGACCGAGTATATTTGTGCCCTGTTTTGTGCCTTATGTATTTGAAGTGTATGAGTGGTAAAATACAAATGGATTTGGTATATCTGGCAACAGTGTGAGGATGATTCAGGGTGACAGCTGTTTATTTACAAACTCGTTGCGCCCAGGAAACATAAAATTCGACAGTGAGCATGCATAAGGGCCTATACGCGATGATCGATTCTCTTCGTCGATTTTCTCTTTTGTTAATAACTCGCTAGATTTAACATTTCTCGATGCGTTTGCTGTTGCTTTTGATAGCCAATACAACCTGTTACTACTCTGCATTGAACAAATTCTAGAAAATTGTTTCGCCTAGCTGTAGCAATGCAAAGAGAAAATCGATGAAGAGAATCGATCATCGCGTATTCGCCCTTATGAATGCTCACTGTCGAATTAGTTTTTTTACAATCACTGGATTTACCAACGAATTTCTTCGGTTATCTGCAGCACAAAAATTAGTTCCCATATTCCTGATTCAATATTCGGAACCTGCACTGGAGCCTTCACCGGAGCAAATTTTCCAATTGAAAACTGTTGCAGGAAAATCATCTCTCCATATCGAAACGAAAAATGGTGAAGATTAGCTTCAAATTGAATAACAGCAAGTATATGAGGTGCAGCTTATCTAATCGATGGATCGATCAACCCTGCACCAAGTCATGGGTCAAACTCTGTCAGAGCCGGAAACCTCGAAGGAGTTGCCTGATTGACTACTACTAGGTGGGATCGAGCTATATACAAGGTTACCCGAGCAAAGCTGAAGATCAAATTGAAATCAAAATTTGCTGTTATGATGTAACTTATTTTGAATACTCCAGTTGATCTCATTTTGGTTGACTTAACTTAACACAGCAAAAATGAGAGCAAAATTTTACACTGTTGAAGCAAACGGAAAACTAATCCTGCTTTCAATGAAATCAATTTGATTACTGATTTTGCATTCATAATGTTTAACTGAATACGGGCTTGGAGTAAATGGTTACCATTCATGTTTCTCAAGCTGAAAGACTTCGGCTCCAATCTCACCCCGGGCAAGTCACAAATGACCTAAAATGTGTTAAACAAAACAAATAAACAATAATCATTAGTTCAACGACAGATGAACTTCAATTAAATTTTAAACAAGACGTAAACAGTAGAACTTCAAGTTAAGTTGCTTTCATTTAAAACGTCTTGACTACATAATGAAAGCACAATATGATATCAGACTTATGTCGCAACATTTGAAATCAAAATGAGTTTTCATTATGATAGGAACTGCACACTTTAATATCGATTTGCTTTCATTTTGTTAACCGACTTTGCTCGGGTAGCGCTTCTACATGAAGGACACATTCTCTCGCTACCGGATGGTCTTCGAACGGTATTCTTTGCCGTGTACGATGACCACGGTGGTGCCACACTTGAACACACGAGCAATGGCAGCTCACTCAGTGCGAGTCAGCATATTTCTGCTTCTACAGCCAGCACCCGGCGGGACAACCAACATCTCCAGTATGCCGGCGCAAAGTTGCACAAGTTTGGGACGAAACGGCCGGTGAACAGGGACGACTTGATGACGGCTCAGCTAGATGGCTTTTTGGATATTGACGAGGCTGTGGTGATTTGGTGATCGAAGAATCGCTGAAGGAACAGGTGACCGGTTCGACGGCGGTTGTACCAACCGGTCGATTTAAAATTGGCTCTCTACTTGACTAGCCTATTGGTCCCAAGCAAACGATTAACGTACCCCATTCTAGTCGAAGATCTAGTACTACGCAATGTTTGTTTTGATTCGCTATGAAAGTTTGACAGATAAAATGAGGGGCTCGTGGATTTTCCTATGTTTCGAGGGGTGAATCGTTTAGCTTGGGACCGAAGAGAGTACCAGAGCTGAGCCAAAAAGTTGAACACGTTTCTTCGGGACTTTCTAGTCTTAGAGGTACCTCTATGGTTGTACATAGTTAATCATATAATTTATGCGTTCACATAGGATGTATATTTGGATGTATGCTATTCTCCAAATAGAAAGAATTAAGCTGATGATTAGGAAAATAAAATCATAAATCACTTTTCATTGCATTGGCATTGGCGAAGGTCAACAGATTGCCGAAGGAACAAGTTGTGACGGCATATCCGTAAACGAATGGCTATGGCTTGCACCGAACCAGTAATGGAGTTTGTTCTGGCGAAGATTTCCCAGGGTTTTATATCCACAGAACCTTGCAAACATAAATATTTATAACTAAAAATCTCGATACACGTTTGTTTATGTACACGTAAATGGCAATTGTCGATAGTACACTAGGCAGTGCTCCCATTTTATTTGAATTATAATCTGATAGCTATGAAAATGTGCCGGAAATGTGCCGATAAATGTACCTTAGCTGTGCCAAATCTAGTTTTGGCACATTGTACTTAGTTTATGAACAGCCCCTATTGGAAAAAAAAATCATATACTGAATAAATATATACTGAATAAAGGTGGAATCAGATCAGTATTGAGAGTGTTAATAAAATAACAAATATTCATGTATTCATTTGTGTGTCATGTCTACATACACATACAACCCACGCAGATAGAGAGAAAAATAACCCAAAACAAATGAATGACGACGGTAATTCTTTGGTGCAAGCAATGGAAATATTTACCTTATTGGCCAAAACCCAGGTAATCATGACGTTTGAATATTGAAAACAATTTGAATGAAGAATAGAGACCTACTGCTGTCATGATTACCTGCGATTTGTCAAATAATGTAAATATTTACACCGATTGCATCGAAGAATACGCTGGGCATTGAAAACTGAAGCGAAAAGCAGGCACTGAAATCGAATCTTACTCAACGAATGAGTCACAAACGATACGTCAAAATGGCGTTCCAAAAACAGGTAAAGCATCTCAATGTCTTCATCACCACGTAACACGGCATTTGAATTTATTTTCAGCTTATGGTTTCAAAACAATAATGAATTATGATCTTATTTCCGTCCTACAAAGTAAACACAATCCGCACGTTACACCTATTTTTTGAACGAATAAATTGATTGATCCTGCTATAGGTGACTTCTTAATTTATTTCATTTTCCATACGTACCGTTCGATTTGATAAAGAGTCACAAATTATTGAGACTTTTTTTTAAACGATATTGTTAACAATCTTAAAATTTATAACAACGGCCTAAACTGTCCACAAATCAAAAGGCCTTGTCCTCCTGAACATCATTGCAGAAAACAGCAAATTTGTATCTAGTTAAAATCTCGAAACATACATCCAGCATTTACACGAAATTCATGAGAACGCTTGTGTCATCTAGTGAGAGAACTCCGAACTAAAGTGTTTACAGTTTAAAAGGTTTTAGCTTCCTGAACAACAATACAGAAAACCGAAACTTTGCATCTAGCAAGGATCACGAGATGCCGACCCAGCATTTACACGAAATTTATAAGAACACCTGTGCCACCTGGCGAGAGGATTCCAAACCGAACTGTCAACAATTCAAAAGGCCTTGAGCTCCTGAACAACATTGAAGAAAGCAGCATCTTTGTATCTAGCAAGGATCTCGAGATATCGACCCAGGATTTACACTAAATTTATAAGAACACTGGTGCCACCTAGCGGGAGAATTCTGAATGATGCCCAAGTTTTTATAATTACAAAATCCATATACATTTTTATTAAGGTAGTATTACACGAAGAAAAACTTTTTATTTTAAATCACGAGATAATTTGTTTGTGTGTTGTGCAAAGTTGTAGAACTATAAAAATAATGAAACTTTGCTAAAGACACTAAGTTTCTACGCCATAAGTCTAGCGAGCTATAAATGGATTTTTGTCGGGACTACATTAAAATATTTTTTTTTTACTTTTTTGCATCACAAATCTTTACTAATCGATTCCACATGCTCTACCAAGTTTTTGATATCATCAAAATACACAACTTTTCTGAAAACAGCAATGTTGTAAAATCACTTAATTTGCATTGTAAAGCAAATTTAAAACAAAATTTCTAGAATTTTGCAGTTAAAATTTCTCTGAAAATATCAGTTTTTGGCAACCAAAATTAACGTTGTTTGATCAATCATGATTCATGATATGAAACTATGTCAGGTATGACGCCCAATTTATGTGCAACATAAATAATCAGAAATTGAAGATCTCTTCGTCTTCGTCTCTTCGCCTCTTAGCTATTTTCAGTGGATTGAAATAAGATTCCACATCCTCGTAACTTGCCGCAAAATTGTTTCAAAACATTCCAATCCCAATCAGTAATGGTTTAAAAGATCCGGGTTCGGATCAACCCCAGCGCACTTACAATGTTCAACTCGGAATCGAAGTTGTACTCGGATGCCTCCTCCAGCGAATACAGCGGCGAATGGTGGTTGACGGCTGGTTCGTACGCACTGTGGTAATCGTACGTCAGCAGATTGAACCAATCCAGATACTTGTTCAGCTTGACCACGTCGTAGCCCTTCTCGATGTACTCGATACCGGCTGGCACGGCCATCGTCAGCAGTAGCCTACGGAGCAAACCATTAAAATTAATATCGAAAACAACCCGTCATTTCACCAACAACAACAAAACTCACCTCGGCCGTCCGGTCTTGGACGATTCCCGGTCGAATTCCTCGCGCAGTTCCTGCACCAGCTGGGCGTAGTTTTCCCGATCCTTTGGTTTCGATCCATCCCGGAAGGCCGGGTACTCCCAATCCAGAGATCCAACCCGTCGAACTGATTCTGCCGCAGGAATTTGATCGTATTCTTCACAAACTGTTCCCGCCGTTTCGAATCGGCTACCAGGGGCGAAAACCGCGACGAACCCTCGTTCCAACCGCCGATGGCCAGCATCGTCTTGAGGTTCTTGTTGTAGGTCTTGAGGCCGGTGAACTTGGCGAAGCCGCCCTTCTCAATGTCCTGGTACTTGTCGTACGGCTTAAGGGCATTCTCTTTAGTGAAGCCTCCGAATGAGTAGATCAAGTGAGTACACAGGTACGGATTGATGTTCTGCGGGTTAAACTTGGCCGTTCCGGGCCGGTAGACCGACCAGTTGGTGTAGTAGCATACCACTCGTTGGTTGTTCTCCGCCGCCGACACCGTCGTCCATGCCAGTGTGAGTGTCGTTAACACGAGAAATAACCATGTTGCCGCTCCTCGTTGAAGCTGTAACGAAAGGAAATAACTTGGATTAGTACAGTGAACTACTATCGGTGCCACTCCATCGACGGACTAATGTACACTAATTAGAGCCCTTTCGATGAGGGGGGGTGATGTGTTTCTACCCCGCGGAAGTGCACTGTGAGCGAGATTCGAGATTCGAGATGGCATGCAGAAATGTGATTACCAGAGAGCATAATTTATGAGATCCATGTGCCGGTGCTTGGAGATCAAACTTTTACTAAATTGAAAGCTCACCAGGTGGTGGTGGAGATTTCTCCCACGGTGTATTAGGTCGGTCCGTGTGTAGGGAAAAGGAAATCATGCAATGGCGTGTGAGATTGATTCTTTTGTTTGGGCTGCCTTGCGGTTCGGGCTTATGGAAAGGAGGTGTATAATTAAAAGCCGTGAAATTTGTAACTCCGGAAATTAGGTAAGTAATTTGGTGTTATGTGGGTTTCGATTTACTGTGTGTGTGTTCAATGTGTGGAGCATTGCTTTCTTTTGTCAATTGGTTGTAGAAGTTGAAGATTTATAGCTTTGGATACTCTAATAGAACGCTAAGTTGTGAGTAGGAAATAAATTCCACTTGTTACTTGAGTTCCATGAAGAAGAACATCACACATCACAAGTAGAGTCTCTTAACACAGCCGTATCATTTAATCTTTGTATGTATAGTTTCGAAATTGTTTAAGCGAGCCCCGTCTGTCCAGTAGACCTATGACTTCTTCCACAAGTTTTATGGAAATCTCGGTGAATTTCATAGGATTGGTAGGAGTCCACAGTACTTGTGGGGGATCCCAACAAACAATTTTAGCTGCAGTTTAGCTTATACAGGCAAAAATTAGCTGCATAAGGCAAATTTTGGCTGTATAAGCTAATTTGCAGCTAAAATTGTTTGTTGGGATGTTCAGATATCTTTTGGGAGTCATCCACAGCACTTTTAGGGGAAGTTAACAGGACTGTTTCGATATGGTCTCTCCTATGAACATCCCAGTCCTATAGAATTATCCAGGGATTTATGTGGACCTCCCCAAGATGTAATGTAGACTTCCCACAGAAGTCTTATGGACTTCTCCTAGAAGTCATGTGAACCTCCTCACACACATCTTGATAAATTTTCTCATAAATCTGTTGATTGCACCCAGAAACCCTGTATACATTTCCCAGATATTCTAAAAGTTCCACAAGAATTCCTGTGAAGTCCAGTTAGCTTTCACTAAGTGTTCTAAAGATTTCCCCGAGAAGTGTTTTAGGCATTCTCAGGATGTGCTATGGACGTCATCGAGAAGTATTATGAACCTTATCAAGAATTGGACTATCTTGAGAACTTTCCCAACAAATCCTATGTATATGTTCAATAATTCAAACATTCGTAAGAAGATCTATGAACTTTATAGAAAAATTCTTTGGACTTCCCCAATAAATCCTTTGCACTAATTTTCTAATCTGGTCAAAATCAGGCCCAGGGTACGATATCCATTTCCTCAGCGAGTTCACTAGCACAGAGGAAGTCCTGCGAAAGCTGCAGCTCATTCTATCAAGTTTTACGTTCCTGTGATTTGCCATTGACAAGCTGTTCCGAAGCCAAGTAAATCCGCCATGGGACCCTGCCTAGACATCCCATCATTCATTAAATCGTTGCGTCGCAGCGCTGAACCTGACTGATGGCCACGGAAAGGCTTGCCAATGCACATACAAAATCGACTACATCCAAACATCTTTTATCTCAAGTCGAGGGAAGACATTCCGTGCAAGCTCTAGCGGAAACCGGGCTAGTTCATGTTGGTCTACGTCAAGCGGACCGTCTACAATTTGGACTTCTACATCATCTACGTGTAATGCTGCCTTTAGGTTCAATTGGCAGATCACCTTTTCGTGGTGCGTTACTGGCATAAGATCTACCACCGTCTAGTCCTGACAACTACAAACTAGTGGAACAGGATTTTTAAGTAATCAAAGGAACAGTTTTAGTCCATGTTAATTTTCATGCCTTGTTAATAGGGACAAGACTCGGGTAAAGTGACCACCCTCGTTATGAATTTTGATATTGTATATTCCAAATCAAAAATATTGTTTATGTTCACAGAGTTATGTTCTTTTGTTAATAACTCGCTAGGATTAACATTTCTCTGTGCGTTTGTTGTTGCTTTTGATGGCCAATAAAACCTGTTACGGCACTGGATTGGACAAATTAAAGAAAATTGCTTCCCTTAGCTGTAGCAATTTACAGAGAAAATCGACGAAGAGAATCGATCATCTCGTTTACGCCCTTATGCATTCTCACTGTCGATATATTTTTTTTTCTTTTGGCGTTCTCTTTGTCCTTTCCTGCTTATTTTTTTCAGAAAACAAACAATGGCGCTATAACCATACGCCATAAAAGTCTACGATAAGAGTTAGTGCTCATGATCCAAACGTCAGCGGAAAATGGAGCATCATTTAACCTTTCTAGCCTAGATGCTTCCAACGACAAACCAATTATCTAAAACGGAACGAACGGTACGAGATGTCCACGTTTCATTCATTTATTGGATTCTGAAATATCACGTTTACATCTTCGCTTTAACCAGGTCCGATGTTTTCTGAATCATCTTGCCCCTTAAACGCTGCACAGTAGGTCTGGCCGTTTTGGTATGTGTGACGCATCTTCAGTGTCATAATTTTCCAGGATTCTTTCAAGAACTGGCTGTGTTGGTGTTAGATTATATTAGAAATTTTATGAATACCCCAAGAAGTCCTATGAGCTTCTCTAGAATTCCCATGGAATTCTTCAAGAAGTTCTATGCACTTCGTCAAGAAATTCTTTACCCTTCTCCTAGAAGCCCACAGGGCTTCATTGAGAAATCGAACCACGGCTGACTAAAAGTAAATTGGTACGCCCCTGGCGCGCTGCTAGCACGCCTCTAGTGTTGGGAATCGAAAATCTTTGACAGTGGTTTGTATACACTTCAATATAGAATGCAAGTTTGATCAAAGTAGTCGATCGCGTTCACAAATAACGTCAAATGGAACTCGGTCCGGTTCCTGGCTAAAGTGCTGAAGATGCCGAAAACAACAGTTTGTCGAGTGCTCAAAACCTACAAGGAAACCCTGAGTGTGGAAAGGAATCAGCGCACCTACGAACAAACTGGAACCAGGGATCGTCAGCTGCGCAGCAAGTTAAAGCCAACCCCGGGCTTTCGATCCAAGATGTGGCCAGAAGGTACAATGCAAACTTTCAAACGGTGCGGAGCATCCTTGCCAGGAAAGGATACAAGTCGTACATAGCCAGTAAACATCCGAACCGGCACATGAAGCAGAATTCCATGGCCAAAAAGTGTGCAAGTCTCTTGTACGACCGTGTTTTGACGAAACACAAGGGCTGCACTTTGATCGATGACGAAACACACGTCCAACTGGATTTTAAGCAGCTTACCGGTCAACAGTTTTACATCGCGACTGGACGTGGGGATGTGCCGGGAAGATTCAAGTTCGTGTTTGCCGACAAGTTCGCGAAGAAGGCCATGATTTGGAAAGCGATTTGCAGTTGTGGCCTGAAAACGGAACCATTCGTCACATCCTCGACGATGACATCCCAAGTTTACATCGAAGAATGCCTGAAAAAGCGTGTATTGCCTCTGTTCTGGATACCGCTAAAGCAACCATTACAGGTTTGCCACTCTTTCTCAAATCAATCATGTTTTTAACCAGAACAACCGCATTTTGGATCTTTGTTTTGTAACCACCCAGGACATAGCTCCTTTCTTATACCCCGTTCACATTACAGCCTATATCACGTAATATAGGCTGTCTTCCAATGAGCACTCATACATAGGATTTCCAGTGAAAACTAGATTTATGAGTGCTCATTGCAAGACAGCGTATATCACGTGATATACGCTGTAATGTGAACGGGGTATTACGCGAGGCACCCACTCCTCTGGTAAGACTGGATCCTAGGCGAGTAAGAGAGGTGACACAGTCGGAAGAAGTGTTAGTTTGTTTACTAAAATGAACCGCCCATTTTGTTATGGCAAGTTTTGGTATAAGAAATGCTGCTCGTGTTTATTAGCGAAATTCACATCAAAGATTGATTAATTGCGTAGGAAATCAGTTTGGCACAGCATTTGTGACCAGCATACACCTTCCGGTCGTATGAAACAGGTCAAAAACTGTCAAAATCCGCAGATAAAAATTTTTGTTTTGAATTTCTGTATGGCAAAATAATGAACTTTTCGTGAACATTAACGGCAAAGAACTCACCAACACTGGGAGACCGTGAGTTCCTGCCCACCTGTCATTTCCCATCTCGGTCTTGGCATATGTCATTGACAGACACCTTCCGAAAAAGATTCATCATCATCCACCATGGCATACGAGCGGATTTCGTCGACTGAAATCCAGAAAGAGAGCCGCTCTTAGGAAATTCACCAAGCACCGCACACTATCCCTTCAACGTCACTATGTCAGGATCAATCACGAATACAAACGAGTTGCAAAACGGTGCTTTCTTCAGTATCGACGTGGATTGCAGAGAAAGCTTAAGTCACGTCCCAAGCATTTTTGGAAGTTTGTCAACGAACAACGTCATGAAGCTGGTCTGCCGTTGTCAAAGGTACATAATGGTAACGTGGCCTCATCTACGCAAGGTATTTGTCAGCTGTTTTCTGAAAAATTTGCTAGTGTCTTCACGGATAAGAGACTGAGTGACGACCATGCCCGACTGGCTGCCAGTTACGTGCCACTCTCTGGCCAAACCATGAGCAGAATTGATATCAATCCCGAGATGTTTTCCAGGGCTTCCTCGAAACGCAAGTCGTCGTACAATCTGGGCCCTGACGGAATTCCATCGGCGTTCCTCAAACCGCACTGGGACAGTTTCTTGTCGCCACTGCTGCATGTTTTTAACGGTCCGTTACTCGCTCTCTGTAAGCCATATATTAGTATCGACCAGCATGGTTTCATAGCTGGTCGCTCCACTTCCACTAACTTGCTGTGCCTTACTTCCTACATCTCTAACAGTA